CCTGTTAATATTTTAACTTCTAAAAAATTCTTTTATCCTATTTGTCCGATAATAAACTGATTCTATCATTTGATAAACTATTTGGTTGAGAATTAATTAAACAGAAAAATCCATTCGCTAAGTCAATCCACTGGTGAGCAATCAACCAAATAAAGTTTTTTTTCTGATATTGAAACCAAGTTTGTGACCATATAAAGAGCAATGACCTATTTGCAGCCAGAGCTATGTCATCTGAAATACAATAAAAAACACAAAATGAATGTAATGGATAACAAAGAATGGCCCGACAGGTCGAAATCAACTTTTTTTCAAATTGTGGTTGAGCATAATTGCACTTAACCATTGTGACACATTTACTGTCCAAGTTTTTGAAATTACGATGAAAGGAACTGGACAAAAAGAGTTCCTGCTCCAAATTTTCGATGTCCAAGTCATATAATTTATACATTTTAGAGAGATATATCGCATTTTGCAGTCTTTTTCAGTAATTGAACAGAGAAAAATCAGCAAATGATATTAAACGGTTATACTGTAATTTAAAAATATCTAAGATTTTTAGAAAGACAAATTGTCTAACAAAGTGAAAAATTCAAAAGGAAGAATGAAAAGGCAGATATTTAATATTTATTGTTTAAAGATATTTCAATTTCCTACATCATTCACATCTGGGTAAAATAGCTAATGTTAATATCGCTATTACGGTCAGTGAGAAAGGGAAAAGATAAAGGAGTAAGAACTACTGATGGAGGAATGTTGAAAACTCACTGGCGTAAGATTATCCTAACGTAAGATTATCCTATTCTGGTGAAAAAAAAGTTTTGAAAAACAAGTTTGTTTTACCAAGAAATAATTTCAAAGTTTTTTTTGTATAGAAAGCATTTTGATGACTTTCTTGAGCTTACCTTTTATATAGCTTTGAAAAAGAATAATTTTTGAAGGAATATTTGTGAGAAGAAGAAAATGGTACACCTATATATACGTGATATTTTTTCCTTCTTGCAAAAAATATCATCTTGAAAGATGTAAAAGCAATTCTGCTCCAAGTAGAAGAAAAAAACTGAAAGAAACATAAGTTCAAGAAATCTTTAATTTTATCAATAATAATATGTTTCATATTGCTACCTGCTAAATATCAGATTGAATGGTAGAAAAACAATTTGGTTACAACTAGCTAACGTAGCATTTTGATTCCAACATTCCCAAAAATTGATTATGATAGTTGTAACAGTAATAATGTTAGCACAATTGATAACGCCAATAGTTATAAGCCATAATTCACTCAGTAGCGGATGAAAATAAAGTGCAATTCAAAGTAATCCTATCCTTTTAAATCTGAACTGTTTATGTTTCTAAGAAGCTGAAGAATTGAATGTTTAGAAATAAATATTACGAATTTATTTCTTTTTTTATTACAAGGGATATATCACTGTTTATGTTTATCCTTCTGATTATAAACCACTTTCTTGATTTTTACATCATAAATCTTCCTCCATAAACTGATGATTCTTCATAATCACTAAAAATGGTGGGACGTGGGAGTGTTAAACATTCGTACAAATATGTTGTTTTACTAAAATGACACTGACAAAATATCTGGGGTAATTGGGGCATTTTTGTTTAGGTCACTCTGGTGATCCATTGATAATGAGGAAGGTAACGTTTGCACAGCTGTGTGAACAGGTTAGAAAGTGAAATTAGTTTTGAAATTTTTCTTCAACCAAAAAAATACATATCCCTATTTTATGAACAATTAGAATAAGCTTTGCAGCAAAAGAGTAAGAGGAGTTTAGTCTTCCACATTTTCATGTTGCCGAAATTTAAGTATGCAAAAGTTCATTGAATTTCATTCGAAATGTTAGGATAATTATTTGTACTATTCCCGCTTCAAAGAACAGTTAGATATATCTAATATAAAACGAGCGGTTGTATTTACCTTAGGGAGACTTTAAGTGGACTACAAAGTAGTAAGTCGTCACTAATTTATCTCATATTGCCATCCAAGCCAAGATTCTGGCTAAATGCGCATCATGATCTTAATGAAATAATGTTTATTGGCTGAAATTGACCAAACAAACAGCCGTCAGTGTCGGTTTTCTCAAAAGAAGGATAGAAATAGTAAGATGAAGGAGATGGACGACGATAGCAATTAAATTCTTTCATGCACCAAATAATTAGAACTTCCAATCGACGTCTTACCATGGAAATAATTATAAGATGTTGAATTTTCGAACTAATTTCTATTTATATAGTTTTAATGGGTCGAGCACGACAACGTACACCGCCTTCCCTTTCCACTTTTGTCATTGGAAAAAATGTCGTCTTTTAACTGTCGAAAAAAGAAGATATGAAAATGAATTATTCCTTTCATCAGTTGTGTCGATTTACTTCGTTGAGTTGACAGATTCCATAAAATTTGGATTTTTCTTTCGATATTTTGTAACAAAGGAGTAATACAATCCAGAACAATATAAGAGAGAATCATCCCCATTCTAGTAAAACTTCAGTTTTATAAATACATTTCGTTTCTTTTCTCGTTCAAAGTATAACTGAAAAGTTTAGTATGCTGCAGTAGTAGATGCACATGTGCTGTAAATTGTTTTTAAACTCTATTAAAAAATTGCTTCGTTCACAAACAGATAGGAATTGTGGTTTCAGATTTTTTGAGAATTTAGGCTTGAATCAAAATTTTATTTCCGTAATTTTCAAGTGATTGAAAATTGTTCTTTTTAATATGAATCATTTTAAATGAAATTGCATGAAAAGGTTGAGTGATGAATGGCGCAAATGATCACATTTTATGCATCAAAGACGCTATATTTTGACTTTTACACACGTGAAATGTTGAAAAACTTTGGAAAGCAATGAAAATATTTCTATTAAATTCCATTTTTTATATGAAATAATATGGCATACATAAAAATATTTACATTTAGCAAACTAAAATGCTGTTTTTAATTGTTATTTTATCATTTTACTATTTGAGGCGGCAGTGAGTTTCAATAGATCTGAGAGATCGGAATACAATTAGTGTCTACTTCGATCATCTGGGACAGAAATTATGACTGAACGATATATTTTGTAATATCACAAATACATGTCACAATTCATCACTGGCTCTCTGAAGATATTTCATTTCATCTACCTCTGTGATGACGAAATAGTAGATTATGAAGAAGAGAAGGAAAACGACCGGATATAACGTTCGACCAGTATCTATCAATGTGACGAGCAGTTGAATGATAACGACTTGACTGCAGCATAAGCATCATTATCTGATATCGAGACATATCACTCACATCTGCTTCCGCTTTTTTCCTCTGTAATCATTTTATCAAGAGCACTGGAAGGTATATACAATAAAAAAGAAACAATTTGATAACAGGAGAAAGTTTCATAGATGTATTTAGAAAATTTTGAACCCGAGCTAATTAACACTGCACTGTTGAGAAATAATTAAAAAAGCATGAAATATTGAGATAAAAGGCAAAAATATTTTAAAAAAGTATGCAAAGGTGTTTTTTAGAAAGGATTTTAAAAAAGACAAGGAATAATAAAAAGCCAAAAATAAAATTTGAAAAGTATGTAATGAGTGAAATGACTGGTGAAATGAGAAGCAGAACAACAGATAATAATTATTTACCAGTTCTCGGGATTTATATTCGAGTGAAATGACAATCAAAGCTTCAAGCATTGTTATAAAGATGAAACTTGCCGTGAAGCCAAACCAAAGGTCAGTGGCCTAAACAAAACGAGTTTTGAAAATATCAATTTCGCAACTTTGTTCTGTTGAAGAATATTGTTTTCTCCTACATTAAACGCATCAAACTAAAAGATATTAAATAAAAACAAAATTGAAACTAAGTTAAAGATCTGAAGACTTTAAGACATTAGAATCGAATTGTCATAAAATCATTTCCTTTGTTTCAAATTTAGCGCTTCTAGCAAAAAAACGAATCGCACCTTCATGTAAGAAACTTTTGGCAACACTTCCTTAACTGCGCCACTTTTAGCACTAAGTGTCAAAAATAATGTTAGTGAGCCGAATATTCTGCCAGTAACGAATTCTTCTGGTAGCCAGACGCCGATTCAAGAAAATATAACAAGGTTACAGTGGGAATATAAGTTCGTGTTCGTGTCATATAATAGCCAAGACTTCGTTTGAATCGGCAGTTGCTTCCAAGCATGAGAAGTTACCTGAGGATTAGAATTCGACTTCCTGAGCCTCATTGGGACAGTTCAATTGAGTCTTTGTTCAAGTAATTAAAATATGATCATATTTGTCGTGTATATAGTTATCAATAAAAGAAACAGCAAACTTTTGTCAACTCAACTAAGTTTGAAGTTGAGTAAGAGCAGAACGTGAATGCAAGATTGGCGTGCTACTGCGAAATTTCAGAAAATTCTTTTTCTATTCTTTCTAATCTCTCTATGTGAAATCGAGCTTTTCCCTTTTGTAATAGAAATAGTTACTGCTCGAGAAGTTAAATTTTCGAGAATATGAAATACCCGTTTTGCGCACTCCATCACAGTACCGATTATAATATTGCCTCGACGTAAAGTTCTTCTGATCCCATGAATTTATCTATTCGAATTGCATCGCTTAAACGAGGGAAGCAATTGTATTGTATTGAATTTTGACCTGCTAATGTAACAGTTTAATTCCAAATTACTGATTTATTCGTATGTACGGATAATGAACTGCTAAGTAGTTCAGTAACTGTCAAGTAAACGTATAATATGTAAATTTAAGCAAACACAAAAGTTCAAGTAAGTAATAATATTTTCTAATGATTTTCGGTTTTCTTGTATATTTTCGATTACAATTAATTAATGTACTGTCCCACGCTGGGTACCGTAATTTGATATATTTATTTAAGATAATTTCTTTATCATATTATAGTTTTATCCATATAACTTTTTTAAGACAATCATATCTATTATAATAGGAAAAAATAAAACATTGCTTATTAGTAGTGATCTTCAACGAATACATTTGATTATCATGAGGATATTTGCATAGGATAAGTTTGCATGATGGTTTCAGGTACAAACTAAAATACTATGTACTACATATACAATAAAGAGCCTATAAAGAATATAAGTAAATCAATCTATGTGCTATATTATGTTTCTATCATAATTAAAAGTAACAAGCTGAGTCTCGAAGAAAATTTCGCCATTGGGAAATATCGTTGTCATCCGGTGATATTCTGTCTCTTTGGCGTTTTGGAAAAATGTTGATGGACGCCAAATTTTCCTGCAAACATTACTACTAATGGTATATATTTCTATGGGAGATAGAACGAGAGAGATTTTTGAATTATTAATAAGAAATAAAGTAGCAATTTTCTCTAACTTAAGTGTATTTTCATCGTTGATTAAGATTGGTCGATCAAATTGATGCGCCAAGCGTCGATCGTGCCATGTCATACCTACTCATATGTCCATATCATAGTCCTATTTTTTTTATCAAAAATTGAATTTTGAATGAGAATCGAGTATTGCAATATGAAGCTTGTTCAAGTCGAGTAATATTCAGAAGAAATTATTATTTTAATTTTTACTAAAAACAAATTCTTACAGAGAAATTACCATTATACTTTGATCGAAATTTGACATCGATTGAATCAGTATTCCAAAAAATGCCACCGTAATTATACCTTCGAAAATAATCGGTGGTGACCTTGAAATTTTAGTGATAAAAAAAAGATTTCTAAAGAATTCTAGAATGCAAACATGCAGAATGCGAAATAGCTGAAAGGAAAAGATATGTGAAATGAGAAGAAAACAAACCTGGAATCGTAATGACTTCTATTGAGAAGCGGCACTAGGACGGATGATGACAAAGATATTACGTTGGATATCCTTTTACTATCAAATACACTTAAAATACTGCTTAATTGAATGCTTCGCTTGAAGTGCGTCGAATTGCTAATTTTTCCTTTCAAACTCGCAATCTTTTCTGTCTAAAGCTTTGTTGAAATTTCAGAAATTAAATTTTTACCATTTATTTGGAAGCAATATAGTATCATGAATGTATAAAGTTAACAAAGTTTCCAAATTCTTCCAGTATTTCAGAAAAAAGAAAGAAAAATAATATCGAAAGAAACGATTATGGAACTGGTAAGTAATGATTAACCTTTTCATCGTTTGGCACCTGTTCATTTGAAGTTTGCGAAATTAAAAATTTAATTAGTTTGGGTGGAAGTATGTATTCTCAATAATCATCAAGTGATAATAGCAATGAGATAAAAAGGCTAAGAAAGAATATTTTTTTGCATCTTTTTTCCCTTTTTTATTTTATAGTTGAAAAATAATGGTGGACTTTTCGATATTTTGCCGATGTTTTCGGTGCCAAATTTCTCCAGGATGCAAACTTTCCTCAGATCAATTTTCAGCCCTTTGTGAAGTTCGAGCATTGAGCTGTTTCACCCATTTTGTAAAAATTAGCCACTTTTTGATTGTGTACAATGATCATTGAAGTCTTTTGTTCGAAATCATCGTTTGCCTATAATCATTTTCCGAAAATTTTGAAAGTGTAAGATGAAATGAAAAGTATAAAGAAATGATTACAAAAAGATCCTTAATTTAGCAATTATTACTTGATAAGTGATTTGAACCATTGTGGGGTTGATGATACGAATTCCTCCTGATGGAATTAACAGCGATCTATCGGCCTTTTGAGAATTATAATTCTGATTGTATCTGGCAGTTAAACCACTTAGCTTCTTTGTTTCCCACTCTAATATGTTAGGCTTCGGAGATTTCTCTGTGCTGAAGGATAAATAATTCCTTCAACAATTTTACCAAAGTTCCAAAGTTGGCAATGATTATTGATGATTTTAGCATTTATTAGAAAATGAGTTATTTTTTGCTCTCTGTGAAAACAATACATATTTATTGCGGACTTTGGATTCAAAACCCGAAAACAAATAGGCTAAGAAAGCATTCATGAACCGAAGAGAATGATCGTTTTTTGCTAAAATTATGAGTATATCACCATTTCTTCCAATTTTTCCTCTGTAATAAATTCAAATTTACGTGGTTGAGAAGTATGACTCAACATTTCTGTCATCTTCTACACTCAAAGATATTTCATAATTATCACACATTTCAGACAAATTAATTCCATGTTTCCTGAACAGTTAGAAATTAATTGCTAATCTCTGCTTCTTTGAACTATTCCATTTCTGTTTTAGTTTGAGTATTGAAAAGTGTAAAAATTTCTTGAATGCTGCTAAAACAAACGTAATACAAAACGGATTACTCAACAAAATTATTAAATTTATGCCCGAAGAAGTGCCATTTTCTCCAAGAAATTGAAATGAGAAGGATAGGAAAAGAGTTATTTGTCCATTGATATGAGATGATAAAGGATAATAACCAACTTTGCTGCAGAAAGGGAATCAATCAGCAAATATCGGCTGTGATTTCTGCACACTTCCTTGAAATTGATATGCACCTATCTTGACCTTAAACACACTTGAGATTATAAAAGGCATAATTTTATTTTCAACAATTATAAATTCATAAATGATTTGAGGAAATGAGAATGAGGCGCCAAATAATTGAGAAAAAATAGTAAATAGAAATTTCAAATAGAAAATGAAATCTAAAAATTGAAACGAAAGTTAAAAAAGCAAATCAACCTTATATTTAGAAAGCAGATATTTTGGTAAATCAAATTTTACCAGCTGTACTACGCACTACGCTACTGTATTACGTTACTCAACGATATTTTTACCCTTAGTGTTGATAACAAATCAATGATTTCCGCCGTAGGCGCAATCTCACCTACCTGAAAGTACTGAAACTTTGGCTTTAAGATTTTCAAAACCAAACACTTATGAAAAGTATAGGTTTAAATAGATTACGAAATGACACAAAATAAACTCGAACTGCAGGAGTACTGGATACAGATCTTTTCCAATTAATTGAGCTTCTATGACTTATCAGTGCAACCATATCTTAATTATGCATAACAAAAGGATGTTTTTGAGTTTTTTCTTTTTTTTTAGTATGTGCTTATTATCTGACCGTATATACAATCTGTTAATCTACCTGCAATTTCCACCATAAATTCCATGCTTCACACTGAGGTAATTTTTCGTACTGAATTCCAAAATCTTCAGTTTGATAGGTTGTGTTTATCCATAGATCAGTTTCGGGTGTGCTCTGGGCTAACGGTATGTGCGACATAATCACTTCACCGTATGCCCAAATAACAATAATAAAAAACGATTTTAAATTCATCGTTATTATCAAAGACGAACAGAGAAACCTCACTGTTTTGTGACATGATAAACGAGAAAGATTGCTCAAAAACCAGTTGTTGATGGCATTTGCTGGAAGAGAAGTTCAACAATCGGAGCGTAAATGCTCATCACAGAAGAAAATGACCATGCAATCAACCTGTTCGATGATACAAGTCAAAAAGCAAACTTTTGGGCATTTTGTAAGAAAATATTTCATAAGAAAACTTCACAAATTCACTTAAAAAATTTTTTGCATTTCAAATTTTGATCCAAAAATTACTGTAGCAATCGAATCATCAACGTTGCACCATCTTGAATTATAAACCCTATTATTATTGTGTGAGAGAACGCAAAAATTTAGAAATTAATTTGTACTTTATATAGATTTTGTGATAATCACGCTACTATAAACTTTTAAATCAATTCATTCGCAAATCATTCTATAAAAAACACATGACATGATTGTAACACATGATCTTAATTAGTTATACAGTAATTATGTTTGCCGATCTCTGATTTTCAAATTATTTTGGATATTGAAAAATTTTAAGCAGATGGGAAAAAATTTATTCCTTTGAAGAATTTTAAAGAAGTGGAGAAAGGAGAAATCTCAAGAACTGAATAGGATTAAACATCAAAAGATATATATTAATTATCAAAAAGTAATTTGCAAAAGTTTCAATTTATTTTTCCTCAGTCCCTTCTTTACCAGTTTGTGAAGTATGATGGTAAAATCATCAAAGGGAGCCTCATTAAATTCATCATGGTGATGCAATTAGCCGATGAAGAAATGACTTTGGTATCGTATTTCAACATTTCCGATTTTTATATCAGGAAAAAAGCAATTAGATTGTTTAAATATTTTTGAAAATGCTTACATTCCAAACTTCAGCAAAATTTAAAATATTTTACACTCGAATGCGATAAAGTGAGAAATTTGTATTTTCTTGGAAGTTATTTTGCTCAATGAGACACCAAAGTTGGAAAATTTTTCTTTATTTTCATCTTAAATTTGAAAATTACGAAACACAAATTAACGCGTAAAATTATGCTCCAAAACGTCGCACAAAATTTGGTTCAAAGAGCCACTTTGGAAAAGAAAGAAAGATGTTATCCTGCTGTGTGCAGGGTATATTTATCTTTTATAATGGGATTTTGTTTAAAGCAATCAGAGAAGTTGGGACTGATTGATTTCAGGTTGATCTAACGTCCCTTACAATAAATATGTCGACTTGGCTATAAACTTGATTACTAACATAAATTGATTTACAACATTTTAACATACAAATTAGTGCATCACAACATATTCACTTATGAATCTTTATATTTTCTTTTGTCATGGAACTTCTTCGCATTTATTCGCGACATATAATGATAAACTATTATACAACGATTCATTTTCTTTCCAGCATTTTGAACTTACAAAATATGCGGATTTTATTCAACAACCCAATAACTTGGCTATATTACATGACAAGTCGATGACTTGGCCAAGTTAAAATGAGAACTGTTCTCAAAATAAAAAGACAGAACTCGAAAACTAATGGAAGAATTGATCTGTGAGATCGTTTCATAGTTCTATCAATAAAGAAAAAATCAGGATCAAGACAAGATGAATGATGTAACCCACCATTTTTTGGCTTAGTTTAATTGCGAAGACTGAGGTCTGAAATTCCTGCTGAATGTTGTTACGCGGAGATATCAATCGCTATAATCTATTTTTCCTCATACTTTAATTTTTCCCCACAAGCAGATCAAATATGAATTAGTTCTCTTCTGTTGTCATCTTTCATTTTCTTTTATCATCCTTCATTCTCGAAAAGGTTCAGGCATAAAACTGACTGAAGTGAAAGAGCAAAATATCTGCCCAGGAAGCGCGACATTTACGCACACCCGAGCAGATGCAATGACATGGAATGATTTGTGTGAGTATAATTGTTACACTTTTATTATGGCAGGTATAGGTCGCTAATGAATGATAGTCAATAATTTAATTGCCGTACAGTTTTTTGCTTTCTAGCTATTACAGTAACGGATTGTAAGTTTATTTGCGGATTCGTTCGAAGAGCAAAACTCCCAAAAGAGATGTAACAATTTTTAATGGCATTAATTAACTCCATGCACTTGGGTATATTTGAAAAAACTAGTCGTATAATCAGGATTTAGCATTTTGGCATCACCAGAACATTAAAATTGGTATTAATAATGAGCCAAATCTTTCCCTCGTTTAAATTAAATTGTCACATCGTTTGTTCATCATGCAAAGTGTAATTGGTCAAATTTTTGGAGCATAGTGAATTACTCGCTTTAAGCAAATAAAAGCCAAAAGCCAAATTTCAGGTCTTCTTCAACGACAACTCAATCGATAGAGAGAGTGTGGCAGACATAGCTGTCCCTCTTCTAAAAATTATTTTTATCCAACTTCTGAATACTTCAAATGAGCATTTAAATGATTAATGAGAAAAAAAAATGTCTTTTCTCATCGTAATAGTAAAAGAATTCCAATTTTGGGAAATTATTACTTTTTTCTTTATGCTCGAATCATACATTTGTCCTTTGTAGTGTGTCCACATTGTCTGCCTTAATGTTAAATTTTTGTCAATAATGGATAATTTATGTCTTCGAATCTGAAATCGAATTGGAAATTGTATTCTCGAAACGAAACAAGTTTCCATAATTGTTGAAATAATGCATAAATAATAAAATAAAGACGGCGAAATGCTGAGATGAATTTGCTTTCAAGAAGGCAAAGCAAGATTGTAATAAATTTAGGTTATACTAAGTCGACTTGATGATAACTTGAGCTAAGTGGTAGAATCTTAGAAATTCACTGTCAAATCAGATTGCAATCAGTGAAGCCAGTTTTTTTTTTTTTTGATGAAAGTGCTGAATGAGAAATGTTAAAGTTTAGCAATATTCAGTAACTTCCTCTGATTCCTGGTACATTTTCGAATTTCAACGTTTAGCTCGTTCATCATAAACAATGATCCTTTTCTTTCAGTTCTTTTTAACAGCTGCCTTCAGTAAAGGAAAAGTGCAAAGACATTTATTTCAAAAGAAGTAATAGAAAGAGTTAGTTGCATTGTCACCGTCAATTAAATTGTCCACCTCTCCACTTCTATGTGGCACGGAACGTTTCCAATCCGGATTCCTCCCGTTAAGTGGAAACATGAATTTAATCAAGAAAAAATAAGTAAACTGTCGAGTAATGTCCCATCGGCGAAGTGAAATCAGTTATAGCCATAACAGAGGGCGGGTTGTCTAGCGGTCCCAAAGATTGCAGTTCAGACGGGGTGGGCAGATTATAGGAAAGGATGGATGGATGGGTGAGGGAAGGGTATACTGCCGAGGAAGAGGACATATCCTGTCGTCTGCTGTTGTCATTGTCTCAAATTTTAGAAATCATGAAGAAGGACAGATTTGCTCCTCCTTAGAACTGGTATCAGTCAGGAATGTTAAGATTCTGGTTACATTCCCGAGGGGCTAATAAGGACGCTGATCAATCATACCGTTCACTTATTACTATTACTGCTACTATCTACTACTACTACTAGTAGTAGTACTGTTCACTTATTACTATTACTGCTACTATCTACTACTACTCTTAGCATCAATAGTGATAAGTACCAATCGTTTTACTTTTACTGCTAATATTGCTTTCACTACTAAAATTGTCCTTATTGTTAATTGATAAGAATAAATTATTTAATAACACTTTGAAGAGTCGCAATTACTTATTGACTTTCCTGTTGGATAAAAACAATTTCGAAGATATCCCTTAATATCAGCGGGAGAAAATTCAACACTTATTTTACACTTATCGTTTGTAATGTATTTAGCACCATCATCTCCTTCCACTGTAAAATATTTTAACGTGATATTAATAGAAATATTAGCATTCTATTTTAAGCCAACATTACTTTTATTATCGTCGTTATCACTGTTGTCACTATTATCACCTACCGTTTTTCATCTTCATTGTTAAATATTGTTCTGAAAATGTCGCATAGATCAGACCAACATATTCTAGCAACTATTTACATTCTTACCACAAATGCATTTGCCTTATTCGCAAATGAAATCGTTGGGGAACCATTTATCAGGTTGGT